CGGCACAGGGCGCAGTCGGCGCCGCAGTGGCCCGGCGGCGGGGGCGGCGGGCACCAGGGGCAGCAGTGGCGGCAGTGGATGTCGCGGTTGCGGGCGTCGATGGAGTCGAGGACCGTGGTGGTTGCGTTGGTCTTGCTGTTATTGTTGTTATTGTTGTTGTTGTTACCGTTGTTGCCGTTCTTGGATGACAGGCTGGCCTGCATGTGGCGGTACTTCTTCTCGAGCCGCACGCAGCTCCCGACGACGAAGCCGAAGCCCTAGCCCGCCAGCGCCGCGGGGAGGCCGAGCGTGAAGACGGCCATCTGCTCCGCGAGGAGTGAGACGCGGAGGATGAGATGCGCCATCTTTTTTCCTTTTTGGGAGGGTTTGTTGTTGGGGTTGAGGGGGCGGTTTCTTGGAACGCTGCCGGTCGGTAGCCTTGGTGATGATGATTGCGTTGTCTTATCGTGTTTCTTGGAAAAATGATTATGCTGGGAAATACAACTCGGTTGGCTACCGGGCAAACGGCGTGTCTCTCGGCTCTCGCGCGTTGGACGTTGCGCGTTGGGCGTCGGTGACGGAGAGGGAGGAGTTGAGACTTGCCCCAGCCTGCTACCTATAGTCGAGGTGATTTGGGTGGGAGAAGATAGACGTTTCTGATCGCATCCCTCGCGGCTTCTTCGAAGAGAGAACCCACGTCATGCTTTCATCAGTCAAAGATTTGTCGTGGAGCTTGGGTCTAGAAGGGAAGGAAGCAACCCGGGCAACGGATTCCACTTCCATACTGCCTGCTTACGAGTCCAACACGCAGATAGCTGACCTAAAATGGCAAGTAGAGACGCCTGGGGCGTCATTTCTGAGCATGAGACTTTCCCAGAGATGAGCATACTACGCAATTACGCCATCGACTCAGAATCATGGTAAAACAACGTTCCATTGCCCTTTTCTTCATGGAAAGTAAACATTTGGGAGTTGAGGCTGGGTAATAGTATACTATGACTATGTTTTAGAGTAAACAGCTACTACCAACCAGAAAATGTGTATGCAGAGTATATGTGACAAAACTAGTTGATCGTAACATCGCCCACAACAGGCCTGTGGTCGCTGGTATACACCCCGTCGACCAGGTTGTCCACAATCTCGTACTTCTGCACCGTGTAATCGTACCCGTCCCTGGGGCCGAGCCACAGAAAGTCGATGCGGGCGGCGCCGCGGCCGTCGGGCGAGAAGGTCGTGTATGTGCCCGTGTGGGGCCCCACGACCTTGTCCGGCTGGGCCAGGTCGAACAGCTCGCCCTTCATGAAGCCCGTGCCGGCCAGGGTCCTGAAGGCGTCGTTGTACGGGCTCGAGTTGAAGTCGCCCGAGAGCGAGACGGGCAGGGGGCCCCACTTTGCGAGCATGGCCTTGATCTGCGCCACCACCACCTTGATGCCCTCGCTCCGGGCCTGCGCTGAGACGTTGTCGAGGTGGCAGTTTGCGTGCAGCAGCTTCTGCCCCGTGGCGGCGTGCTCGAGGACGGCGATGGTGGTGACGCGGCGGCTGCCGGCACCCCAGCCGAACGAGACCTCGTCGGGCGTCGGGGACAGCCACTTTGTGGTGGAGTCGAGCAGGCGCAGGTCCGTCTTCTTGTAGAGGATGGGGATGTACTCGCCCTTGGTCTTGCCGTCGTCGCGCCCCACGCCGACGTGGTCCCAGTCGCTGCCCAGCCCCTTCTTGACGTCCTTGAGCTGGTTGTTGAGCACCTCCTGCATCGCGATGATGGTGGGGCCCCCGGGGGCGCCGAGCCCTGCAGGCCGCCGAGCAGCGACCTGGCGCGGTAGAGGCGGCAGCGGTCTCTCCAGATGAAGCAGAAGAGGTCCCACCACGGCTTCTCGCCGGCCTCACGCCCGCTGGCGGCGTACCGGATGTTCCAGCTGACGAGGCGGACGGGCAGCGTGGCCAGTGCCCCCTGGGCCGCCAGGAGGGCGAAGAGGAAGAAGGTGGGGAGCTGCATCATCGAGTGCTTGTCGGGCTCAAAGCCGCTGATCAAGCTTTGTCGGGTAAAGAGCGTGATTCGGAGCTGGAGGCTGAGGAGGAAGAGGAGCAGTCCCTCCCTCCCTACAGAGAGGAGGCAAGCGTCTTTATGAGCCTATCACCATCGTCGTCGGCCCCGTCGCCGCGCACGGCTGCTTAGCAGAATAGCAGCAGAGTAGCATTGTGCACAAAACGGATCCCTGTGGTGGATCCCCATCAACAAAGTGAAATTGCTTGCGGCACGTTTCATTAGCATCGGACAGCGGCCCCCCCACACGGATGTGACGACAAGACCAGGGGGCACACAGCACAAGAAATGCCCAGCCATCTTGACGTCGATAAGCTTGAATTGCCTTATGCACTCGCTCCCACAACCCATCAATCCCGGCCCCATATGTCGGCTGGCCTGGCAGCCCATCGTGCACTGCAGGTCATGCACGCCTCGCCAACACTCGCCAACAGTAGTCGCTTTTTAGCGAGAAATTGCCCTTTTCCTTGTGCAGTCCACTGGGCCGTCAGATACCCTCCCACACAGAATATAGCCGCCATCCGCCCATGGCAACCAACGACACACACCCAGACTGTTCCAGGCAGACAACAAAAGTAAACATTCCAAGCAGAATCGCGTGTTGGCCTGCATTCCTAGCAACCCCCGGGCTGGCAGCGCGTGTGACGCTGTCTTGGGCCTGGCTGGAGGATATGACGGAAGCCATTGGCCGCGACGGCCCCCCGAAGAATTCTCTCTGACCCATATTGGATATTGGAAGATGAGATTGCCCAACTAGGCAATCTTCTGGAAGGGGCGTGGCGAGACGTGTGCAATATTTCTTCGTGCTCGCTACTCAGCTCTGCGTCCATAGCGCCATTCCGCCTGCTCGGACAAGGGGTGTCAGTCACTTGGCCTGCATGAATAGGGAGAAGGGGTTCTGAATAGACCTCAGCTCATCATCAGGAACACCACGTCAGTGTACGAGACGTTATTGGGGCAATCTAGCGCTAGCTGAATCCCCAGACAACAAAGGAATTGCCCTTTGGCAAATTTGACGACGCCCGACTAAACTGGCGTTCCGATGCGGTTTGAGACAGGCTGAGCCACCAACAAGCCGTTGGATATTGCGAAGCCTCTGCCTTTTCGGTCAAACTGGGCAAAACGCCAGCTACCCGTATAAAGACACGAGGTGTTCCCACCGTGGATCAGGATAGTATGGCCGTCGATCGACCGAGCCTCTTTCCTGCCGTCGAAGCAAGCAACCGCCACAACCACTCGCCATGCGCAGCTTCAAGTCGGCCAGTCTTGCGGCTTCGTTGCTCGTCGGGGCCTGCAGCGCCTTTGTCGTTCCTGGAAACCCCTTGTGTTTCCCGGTCACGTTCAATGTCGCCGCCTCTGCCGAGAACAAGGTCGTCGCCAACCCTCCGGATCCCAACAACGAGGTTGCCATCGTCCAGTGGAGCATCGCGAGACTTCTGAGCGGAGACATCCCCGATGGCGGACCAGTGCAGACTGTCAGCGGCAACTTCACCGTGAGGGGCACCTTCTGCCCGTCGCTCTCGCTGCGGTCTCGCAAGGAGGACGTGCTCCAGGTCCTGGTCTCGGGAGCGACCTATGGCCAAGAGATCTGGAGGGGCTATGGCGTCAAGGAGAACGACTTTGTCGCGTATGCCAACAAGGCGGGCTATCACGTCTTGAGCCTCGACAGGCTCGGTCATGGTGCCGACCAGCAGCGCCCTGACCCACTAGACCATGTGCAGGCGGCGCTCCAGACTGAGATCATCCATCAGGTGATCAAGTCCATTCGCGATAGCGTCCATAGCATCAGGAAGCTCCCCTGTCTCTTGATTCCCGGCATCAAGTTCAAGAGAGACTTCAAAATCGCCTACGTCTGCCACTCTCTGGGTTGCTCCTTGGGCGTGACACTGGCTCGCCTGCACCCGGCCGATGCGGACGCCTATGTCATGTCTGGGATTGGAATTGGCGCTACCATCGAGTCCGCCCGGTCCTTCGTCGTCGGTTCGGCGCGCCGTCTGCACCCGGACCGTTTCCCGCAAATACTGCCGCTAGGCTATCTCACATTCGAGACCGAGGCGGAGAGACGAGCCGCCTTCTACTACCCGGGTCACTACAACCCCGTCATCCCGCCACGCGACTTTGCGATGCAGGATACCTGGACGCCGGGAGAGGCGATAACCACGTCACCTCCTGCGGTTGGGTACACGGGCAAGGTCGTCTTCGTCAACGGCGACAAAGACCACTTTTCCTGCACCGCCGGCGACTGCGACACCATCAACCAGCAGACGGCGGCGCTGCTCTTCCCCGACGCCGCGACTCGAGGGTCCATCGTGGTCACGAACTCGGGGCATGATTGGTCGCTGCATCACTCGGCACCAACTGCCTTTTGCCAGATCCAGCAGTTCCTGGACAGTTCGCTTCGGACCTAGGTGGCAGAGGCTGAGTTTCAGGGGCTGAGGCCTTTGGATGGGCATGGCGTGATGTGTGATGGAAACGTGTTTGACGTTGAATGTAGCATGCATGTAAAGTGGAAGGAAGGCGGTTACAACGTGAGGCGGGAAAGGGAAAAAGAAGGGAAGCCATATGGAAAATTAGCTCCCCAATCCAGCGGACCGGATTGGTCAATTCGACAATCTGGCAGCACTCGACTGAGGACAAGACGGGTTGCCAAGACGCTGTGCAGATGTCATGCTTTGGCGACTGTCCATCCCAGCCATCGCCCTGCCAAATCTAGCCAACGCAGATCAGCGGGTCCAGCCCCACCTTTGATGGGTGCAGCTGCTGACCGCCGGTCGTCGGAACCCGGGGCACAATCGGTACCTGTGGTGGTGTGGCCAGCTGGTCCAAGCTCAAGCTGTCCCTCCCCAACAGGAACAAGGTCTCAGGACGGGATGGGCAGGGGCGCCTCCATCCTTTCCCCTTTCCGTGAACCAAACTCTTTTGGCACCCGCAAGCCCGGAGTCGGCATTTTGTTGACGCCTCAACGGAAATTTGCGGCCAGAACTGCCCGCTGAGCCAGAACAGGGGATTTCAGGGCGGTTGGGCGTGGGCCTGAGCTTTCCACGCGCCACCCAAGACGAGACGGCGGTGATGGGGATGTGCTTGGCGACGTCTTCGTCGCTGAAACATCACGCATCATGAAGTGTATATAACATAGCGCCCAGACTACCTTTTACTCACGACGGCTCGCAGACGGACTGGCGTGGCCGATCCTGCTTTCCCCTCAGACAAGCACTGCCAAAGCACCACCACCATCCCTCCTCGATCCCTCCCGCAGCTAAGCCTGCAGCCCTGCTTTCAAGTGAGAGGTCCTCCTGCTAGACCGCCCGAAGCGCTAGTCGAGCATCCCGGACATCCGAGAACCGCATCATCCTCGTGCATCCATAGTACGACTTCTGTCTCCCCCACCCAGCATCTCCCCGTTTGTCGACCTTCCACCTCTCTCCCCCACCATCTTTACTGTGGTACACATCAGATCACGCCTCGCATTTAATCGTTGCCATCCCTTCGTCCATCTCTCATCCCCCCATCTCCGACTTTCCGATCCTCCGACCCTTCTTTTTCTACGTTGGCACGACGGTGCACCGCGGACCGCCACAAAGCTACACCACCTCTTCTTAGCCCGACATTCAAAACATTGACTGGCAGCCGACAACCTACATACCACCCATCCCAACACCGCCCATCCTACATTTCCGTAGTGCACTTGCGCTCCGACCACCCGACACAATGACTAGAGTCACGGCGCCCATGTCGCAGCTCGCCCGCTCGCTGACGGCCAGCCCGTCAGTAGCGCGGCCCAACTTCATCTCCAGAGCCTCCAAGGCTGCCGTCTCTTTCGCCCAGTCAGATTTCAGTGCTGAGGGCAGGAGTAGTGATAATGAGGTAGGTCCCTTCCGCTGCAGTAGCTCCTCGGGATCTTGTTCGTCTGGTATGAGTCAGTTGGGACTTACACCAGGCGTTTGCACATCAACCAACAGGCCTCCCGCCGCGGCATGACCACTGCACACCGGCCCGTGACTGTCCAGCCCAACCCGGGCCGGATAGTCCCCCTGATGCAGGGCTTCCACAGCAGCGCCGCCCCGGCCGCTCGTCTCGAGGTGCCCACCATGGACTTCGCCACACTGCCCATCATGGACATGGAGTCGGCCTCGGACATGGCCCAGACCATCCGTGTCCCTTTCATGCCGGACAACTTCACTCCGGACAGGTCCACCTTCAGCGCCGAGGCCCCCGACGCCCCGCTGCCGGCCGCCGAGATCAGCGTTGTTGCCGCCCACCCGGACAAGGTGCTCTCGGCCCTGACCGAGGTCGAGGGCATCGGCTTGGACGGCGTCGAGCTCAAGTTTGTCCACGAGCACGCTCCTGTCACCCGCTCGAGCAAGGGCCACTCTATGATCACGGACGTGTGGCATGGCATGTTGGACGACGTCTTTGGTGGTCAGAAAAAACCTGCGCTTGCCTGATCGTAGCAGGACCTCGGTTCTTTGACCACTTCAGATGATGACTTGACGATGGGTTAGGAGTTTCGTGCCATCAAAACCCTAGGTTGGTTTTGTTTTGGGCCGTTGCTGTTTGTATCTTGTTGTTTTGCAAGACTGTATTTCGCCACCACAAAACCCCCAAGCCATGTTTATGGCTGTACGCGTTGTAATTAGGTCCGTCCGTTTGGGACTCTGCTAGCAGTATCGTGCTATTTCCAATTTGGTCTGGCCAGCCATGGTCTTCCTGACCGGCCCTTCAATACAGCTGTATTTGATGAATACCTATCCACTTTTTGTGAGCCAACGGCTCCCCGTCTGAACGTCGCCGGTTTCCGTCTTACTTTGCATCGGTGCCCGAGTTCTTGTTATTGGCACACCCCCCCGGTTCGTCTCATCACGATGGAAGCGTCAAGTAACAATAGGAGCACCAGTGACAGCATCGCTTGAATTGTCTACCTAAAAATAACATTTGGTTTCGTACAACCACGCTAAGGGTTGTGTGGTATCATTGTCCTATGGTTCCTCCGCACCACTCAAAAATCACCTCACCAAAGCCACCACTAACGCTGCGAATAGTTCATCGGCCTTTGCTAGTACCCGCAGCCTGCCGGCTTTGGCTTGACCGCCAACCACCGCCAGCCGAGATCTTCGCCGGCCAAGCCTTCTTCTCCAAGATGGGAGGTATACAGTCGTAGATGGGGAGAACATGGCAAGGGCGAGAGCCAGCAACCCGCCTGATCCAAAACGTTGCACTCATGGCCAACACAGCCGTCTCTCGAAGTAGCCGGGCCCACTCCCCGAACTCCACGCTCCTTCCTCGCAGCCCGCTCAACCCCCACCTCACCGCTTCTTGACCGACGGACGAGGCTTGCACTCGTCCGGCAGGACCGGGTGCAGCATGACCTTGTTGGGGTACTGGGTGTTGTTCCCCTGGTAGCCCTTTGCCCAGTCGTAGCTGACTGCGTAGGCAAAGATGTTGCCGTTCTTGTTGAACGTGGTCGACGTGATGCTGCCGCCGACGTTGGGGTAGCCCTTCAGCCTGTGCTTGGCGTCCTTGTCCCAGAAGTGGTAGGTGCCGTCCGAGCCGGCTGTACTAAAAGTCCCGTGCACCGGGTGGAATGATATGTCGTTCACCGCGTACACGCTGGTGGTATTGCCCTGCGGCTGGTCGCGGTGGCACTTGAAGGAAAAGTTGGAACTATATGGTTTTCATCATCAGCCATAAGACCCTTGGTGCGCTACGCTACGAGGTCAAACACGGAAAAGGGTGCTGGGAGATGGCATACCTGTTGTCCTTGTCCTCAACGTACTGAATTGCGCACCGACCCTCAATACTACCGATGGCAAAACCAGCCGAGTCGGTGAAGCAGCTCACGACGCGCGTCTGCCACTTGAGCGGACTTTGGAGTGTCTTGTAGAACTTTGAGGGGTCCTTGAGGTTGACCACGTTGATGTAGCGGTCGGCGGTGCCGATGACGAGCAGGTTGTCGCGCACGTCCATGGTGTAGATGCGCTCCTGGCACTGCAGAGTGCCGACGGCCGTCTGCTGCCGCAGGTCCCAGTACTTGACCGTCTTGTCCCACGAGCCTGTGATCACCATGGGGCTTCCGCCGTTGTCGAAGAAGCGGACGCACCGCACCGGCCGGTCGTGCTGCGCCACCTGCGCCGTCACGCCCGTCGTCACGTCGCACACCTTGGCCATCTTGTCGGCGCCTCCGGAGACTATCTTGGTTCCATCCTGGAGGGGGTTGGTTGTTAGGCGTTAGCATCGACCTTGGTGCGGCCTAGGCCAAGGAAACAAAGCCAAGCAAGCCAGACGTGGCAGAGGATAAAGGAAGCATTACCTTGTAGTAGTCACAGCTAAATACGGGCCCGTCGTGCTCGTACATGTGTTTCCCTTCGGCGGTCCCGTTGCTCAGGACCTCGTAGATGCGCACCTTCTTGTCCCAGCTCGCGACGGCCAAAAAGTCCTTCTGGTCGCTCGGGTTCGGGTTGAAGGCGAGGTCCGAGATGCTGTCCTCGGGCGGGTTTGCGATGGCCACGTCGTTCTTGAGGTCGCCGATCGTGCTCGTCGGCGCCGCCGCCGGCTGGCCGAAGAGCCCCGACATGGTTGCTTTTCTCTGGTGCGGCTCTCGCCCCGGAGGCTTCGTTGATGACCTCGGGCCGGGTGCGGAGACGACCGGGCTCGAGAAAAAAAGAAACGCTGCCCCTTGGCTGTCTTGCAGCCGCGAGTCCCGGGGTTTGTCTGGTTCAAAAGGTTGTGTGCCCTTGGAAAGGTAGCTGTTGTAAGGGTCAAAATGGTTCGGCTCAGCCCAGACACGGTTCGGTGCTAGTCAACGCGTCGGTGATCCTTGAAGGCAGAGATGCAAAACTAATGACCAATGACAGGCGGAAGCTTCGAGTTACGTAAGACGGGTGCCTACGCCAAAGTCTACAGGCAAGTTGGAGGCAGTGCCCCACATCGACACACGCGCCCCAATTAATTATGCGGGGGCCTGGCACCCATAAAAAAGTTCGACATTGCGAAATTTTTTATTTTTTCCTTCCTTCCTTTCCCTCAGGTCCCCCTCGCCCAAAAGATCGCTATTCGAAGCTGAAAACACGGAGAAGGTGTTCGCACCGTCTCAACCACCTCTCTGCTTTGGGGAAAGTCCCCGGACACTTCTTGCGGAAACGCGCCGCCATAGAAGCACTGCGGCTTATCCCTGCTGGCTGTCCCTCGTGCCGGCCTCGATCATCCCTCCGCCCCTCGGGTGGCCATCCTGCTTCGAGACGGTTTCTGTACCGGTACCGCCGCCCTCTCGCCGCCGTTCCCCGTCGCCCCCAATGGACGAAGATATGAGTCCGCGCTTCGGGACGGCGGTCGGGCAATCTGGTCCGGTCTGATCTCGGCTCATACGGCGTGGAATTTTTTTGGGGATGTTTGGGGTGGCCTACGGGACGCTCAAGCCTTGCATGGGAGCATTTCGTCAGTTCATTCCACCACAGTTATGCGATTGAGCCACGCCTGGCCTGTCGGTACTCCCTCGGGAGGAAAGCGGCCAGTGTGGTTTTACACGATGGGGCTTACTCTTGGTGCGAGGGGGGCTCCAACCACACCTTCATCGTTCTCGCGAACGAGACTCTCGGACATCCATCTTTTCACACTCCGAGCTTCGCGGGAAGCTTTCGTCTGAGGGCTCTCCTTGACCGGGAGCCGAACGGGGTGCCCATTTTGGGGTGAAGTTTTAAATGATGAACCAAATATTAGAGTCAAGCACTGACCGGAGCCACTGTAAAAAGGTGCGCTCCTGGTGATGATTGCAATATGCGTTATGGTTTCTGATAAACTTCACTGTCTTTCTTTTTCTGTTCTTCACTACCCCTTCACCTACCTTCATCTTTGCCTCATTCTATGACAGTCTCGCCAAAGCATGACATCACTGTTCAAGATAAATTCTTGGTGCAATAATAAATAAAGACACATTGAGCGGATTCTTGAGATAATGAACTAGACTGTGGTATATTCGGTTTGACATTATGGATTCTACGGTTTGAAAACTCTCCCCGACACTCTAGACCCGACCGTAATGCGTATGCTACACTCATCAACGCCATACGCGACTAAGCCAGAGTAGGCCACTTCCAACATATGTTTAGAAACGTCAGGTTGGCCGTGCCTGCAATGCCTACATGTACAGACACATATCCCTTCACGCATGCAAATACAGCTCCCAGGCAGTGCCCCCCGTCACATCAGGCCTCCCAGGACGACCTTGCCGACGTTTGCGACCTCGTTCTTGACGCCGCTGCGGCTCGAGTCCTCAAACTCCTTGACGACGCCCTGGATGATGATCTTGCGGACCCTAGCGTCGGCCTTTGTGAAGAGCTCGGCCACGGACTGGTTGCACTCGCGCGGGGTGGGCAGCAGGCTCAGCAGGCGCGTGTAGCAGTCGATCAGGACGTCGCAGAGCGTCGCGAACGTCTCGAAGAAGTCCGGGTCGAAGGGCAGCGACGGCGTCAGCAGGTGCGCGTACTCCTCGCCGGGCAGCAGGTCCGTGTCGTGCGCGGCGAAGGCCAGCACGCTAGTGTTGCCGCCTTCGCCCCCCTCGCCGCCGCCGCCGCCGCCGCCGCCTCCGCCATACTCCGCGCCGAAGCCTCCGCCGCCGCCGCCCCCAAAGACACCGGCAGACCCGCCGTTGCTCTCGCTGGGCTCCAGGGGGAAGCCGATGTCGTTGGCGCCCGAGGTGCGGCGCGTCTTGGCGCCCTGGGTGCCGCGGCGGAACATGTTTGGGATGCGGGCGCGGGACAGCGAGGACGCGGCCGAGGGCCCGTTCTCCGAGTGCAGGCCCTGGAAGGTCTCAAACTCGCTCAGCAGGATGTTGAGGCTGCGCAGGAACTCGAGCGGGGTCGACGAGTTGAGGTCGATGACGGCGGGCAGGGAGAGGCCGAGGAGCAGGTAGTTGGTCGCGCGGCGGGCGAGCTTGCGGTTGTCAAAGTAGGGCAGCCTGGTGAGGTCGGGCTTGTCGAAGAGCAGCGTGTTGAACCAGAAGACGCGGCCTTCATGTCTGCACAGTTGTTCGTCGGCAGTCAGCAAATGGGCATGTACGGCTTTGAAGGGAGAGGAGAGGGATCGGCAACGTACGCTTTGCGTAGATAGTCCAGCGTTGATATCCTCTTGCTTGCTATATCGTGGATATGCTGGTAGGCCAGCGAGGACTCGCTCTGCATGGCGGCGCCGGTTAGGGGCGGGGCGTAACCGTTGGCCGAGGATGGCGCGGTGCGCGCGAGCATCTTAGAGAAGGAGTCGGCCGAGAGGGGAGAGGACGGGCCGGTGTCGCGCTGGGCCGTGTGCGCGGCGAGGGCGGCGTTGTCGGGGAGGTTCGGGGGCGTCGAGTGGTCGGTTACGACGAAGAAGCCGCTGCGGCCTCCTCCAGCGCCGTCGCCGCCGGACCCATTCGAGGTCGAGCCGCGCCGTAGCCTCGCGAAGGAGGGTCTGCGGGAGAGGGAGAAGGAAGGCCTGCGGTCCTTGGTGAGCTTGTGCTGCGGCTCTGGCTGCTGCTGTTGCTGGTCGGCCTGTCCCGAGGATTCGTTTGGGCCGCTGTTGGGTCGTGATTTGCTTCCTGTGGAACCGGCTGGCGGCGGCGGTAGTGGTTGTGGAGGCTGCTGCAGGGAATGGGCCGCCTGCGTCGCTGCGGACGAATGTGCATTTTGAGGAAAGGAGAAGTTGGACGTTGCGCCCACTCTCGCTGTGTCTCTCCCCGTTATTTGGAACATGGGCCGCTGCGCAGGCCTCTCTGGTCGCGCTTAGACGCAGCGATTGGTGAATCTAGGGGGCGTTTTTAGCGGTGTCAGGGCGTAGCTTTAGCGCAAGTTCCAGGCTTGGCCGATGCGAAGCGAGACGCAATCAATCCAGCGCTAGAATCTTGACCCTGCTAGTGAGAGATTTAGAAGGGCACTGAGACGCATCACGACGAGGCGACGGCACCGATGGATTTACATATGCATTGGTTAGAGAAGAAAAGAAGCGGAGACCGTGATTTTATTTTAGCAGTGCCACGAAACAGAAACTCAAAACAGACATGTGGCATTTTTTTCTTCCTTTTATTTTCTTATAAGGCGTCGTGATATGCGGCGGTACATCAGTGCCCTGCCATCCATGCGTTTTAACCGACATCCTAGAAGGGCAATATGGGTCTCAGAGCCGCTATAGGCCCCCACTGTAACCGGTTCAAATTGGCCGGTAGGCTCAGGTAGCATCCATCTTGGGCCACGGCGGCGGCCAGCAGGAACGAGTACAAAGTTGACCAGGACCGTGGGGGGACGGGAGGCGGGGGCGGCCAGACGTCAACCCATCTTGCTATACCTAGCAGAGGTTGAGTACCAAGTCAAAGCAGTTGAGACGGGCGCGGTGAAGTTTGGGCGGCGCGAGAGGCCTGAAACGCATGGCAGTCGGGATCGGGACCGGCAATCAGGAGGATGTCGACAGACAAAGCGCACCTGGGTGCTTCGTCCACGATCCTTGCCCCCTGAAGGAGGACGATGTTCCCTCTCGCAAGGTCTCGTCTTATAACGCCATGCTGAGTCGGCCCGGTGTGGAAGGTGGCCGAGCCTTTTTTTTTTTCGTTCGTTCGTTTCCATTGGTTTGTGTGGGACCACATCACACAACATCCCGCACATATAATCCTTGCGATGGGACAGGGCACCTAGGTCAAAGCCGTGTTTCCGAGACCGTTAGAACAAACAACGAGCACGCTAATTAGAGGACTAGCCAGAGTTCACTCTGCCGTCCATCCAATATGGGTCATGTGCACGGTGGTTGTGTGATTGTGGTGGTATCACGACCGATGTACCCTCATATCATACCTAGGTGGTAAACACATGTAAATTCCATAATGCCCCGTTTAGTCGTTGAGTCCACCCTGCACATGTCGCCAATGCTTGCGCCCGGAGAGGTGACCGAGGCGTTCCAGGGCAGGCACCAAACTCGTGGCTGGTGATCGAGCAGAGGTTAAAGTGGGCCGGCGCACCTGGCTTTTGCTGCCCGCCCCTCTTGGTTTGCGGATGAGGTGGCGGCAACAGCTGACATTGGCTGGAATGGTGTAAACTGGTAAAATGACGCCTCAAGGATTGGACTCATCCAGTTCGGCGCCTCGTAGCCAGTTGTATATAGCAACCATCCGCTCCGGCCCGAAAGTCTGCTGAGCTCGAACCTCGACAGCTCTCTGGCAAACATCGCCTTGGGCTTTGGATATCAACCCTGCATCGTGCGGACCCCCTCCGTCTCCCCAGCTCACCGCACCAACAGCTGCCCGCACCCCTACCGCGAATCATGACCACTATTTCGGAATCCCTACCGCCCGGGGACCCGGCCCCTGAGCTTCTAGAAAACCGGATCTGGATAGACGGCTGCTTCGATTTCTTCCATCATGGTATGTGCTTCCCTGCGTTGAGTGGCCGCAGCCTCGGCTTGGCTCCCCCGTAGTGTCACCCCAAGTACCCTTGATCCCGCATATTAGGCCTCCTCCTTCAAGTGCCCATCAGCCCATATTTTCAGGCCCGTGAAAGATCTCCCGAGACCCGCCCGGCGAGCCACACGGCAGGCGTGAGATGGACAGTGCAGCGTTACAATGGTAGGCTGACAGACACTCGACTTTGCTCGCCACCGCAAAGGCCACGCCGGCGCCATAGTTCAGGCCCGGCTATTGGGCGATGAGCTCTACATTGGAGTCCACTCGGACGAGGCCATCCTGGACAACAAGGGGCCCACCGTCATGACGATGGAGGAACGGTAAAACTTAGCCATTTTTGAACCAAGATGGTTGCTGCCATATCCGAGGAACATCTGAGCTGACCTCATGCCTCTTCATCCAACCTGTCCCGGTTGGTCCGGGGGAGCAAAGCACAACCCAAAAGGCTAGCTGCCGTCGACGCATGTAGATGGGTCACGCAGTCCGTCCCTAATGCACCCTACGTGACAGAGCTCGACTGGATCTCGCACTTTGGGTGTAAGTATGTCGTGCATGGTGACGACATCACGTCAGACTCGAGCGGTGAGGACTGCTACCGCTTCGTCAAAGCTGCCAACCGCTTCAAGGTGGTCAAGCGCACGCCAAGCATCTCGACTACAGACTTGGTCGGCCGCATGCTCCTGTGCACCAAGACGCACCATATCCGCTCCCTCAAAGCCGCGCTGGCCGGAACCGAGGGCCCCGGCACTGCTGCCGAGCGCGACGCCCAGGGCATGGCCATGACGGAGCGCATTCGTCTCTACGCCACCGACGAGACCGCCACGAAACCCGGCGTCGATGTCTGGTTCTGGTCCGCCTCCGAGGAAGCCAAGCAGCTGGACGACGCCGAGGAGAAGGGCTCGTTCCGCGAGATGATCCCGGCACCGCGCCCGCGTCCGGGACAGCGGGTTGTTTATGTCGATGGCGGCTTCGACCTCTTCTCGAGCGGCCACATCGAGTTCCTCCGCCTTGTCGTCAAGGAAGAGGAGGATCTCGCGCGCAAGGAAGGCTGGTATTCGCAACAGGCCGTCGATGAACGCAAAGGCAAGGGCGCCGACTATCCGCCCGTCTACGTCGTGGCCGGAATCCACGATGACAGCGTCATAAACCACTGGAAGGGCGTCAATTATCCCGTCATGAACATATATGAGCGGGGGCTGTGCGTGCTGCAGTGCAGGGTGAGTCGCTGCTGATGTTGGCCGTACAAAGTTCTAGTGAGGATGGGATTGATGCTGTATCAAAATGCTGACCACCCTTTGTTTTATTAGTACATCGACGCTGTTGTGTTCGGCGCACCCTTCACGCCGACAAAGTCTTATCTCACATCCCTTCCGTGGGGCACCCCCGACGCCGTATACCACGGGCCAACGTCGTTCATGCCCCTGACGTACGACCCGTACACGGCACCCAAGGAGATGGGCATCTACCGCGAGATTGGAGGGCACGGGTTTGCAGACGTCAACGCGGCCACCATCGTGCAGCGCATAATGAAGAGCCGAGATCTGTACGAGGCGAGGCAGAAGGCCAAAGGGATGAAGGCCGACCTGGAGAAGGCCCACCGACAGCGGGAGATGCTCGAGGAAGAGCAGAGGAAGAAGGAGGCCCGTTAAGCTGACCGACTACCTCTGTGAGGTGGTGAGATAAGATGCTGTCGTTATCATTACTCATATCTCTCATTCTTGGCGCAGTCAAGCTCCGACAGATTTGGGTGTATTTCACCGTCAGTCTGGAATAGCAGTCGGATTTCCGAATGCTAGAAATGGTGGTAAGAGCTGCAGGCGGGGAAAAGCTCCGAGGTAATAGCGGCCAGATATAATCCAACAAATATGGTTGTCCGTCGCACCTCACGGTGATATGACGCAGGCGGGCTGAAAGGTGCCGTTCTCTCATTCACTGGATTGTTGGTCGTTGACTGTGTAACTCAGCACCTCCGTAACACAGCGCACCCACCTTACAGAGAGGGGTTAGGTACCGTGTAATCCAAATGGTTTGAGGGGCGTCCAAGACACTGAAGTAATGGCCTCAATTGTGAACAAAAACGCAAGTCAGTACCTAGCAAGTTGCCGAAACGTCTGTTGCCCGTCCGCTTGAGAACGGGCAGTCGCAAGGGCCATCAAGCGGGCTGTAGGGATACGATTAGGTAAAGTCCGGGGTCATTTTGATCACAGGACACTCCCCCGGTCCTTCTAGGTGGTACCCAGCCGGAAGCCGAACCGAGGCGAGGGCCCAACAAAGGCAATTGCCGTTTATTGGCGGCTATTCTCGGCCGTCTGCCCGCGACTCAATTCCGCGACGTCAGCGGGCGCAGAAATCGAACCCCTCCAGCCCAGCGCGGCACATGGCCCATGCAGCCAACAAAGCCCAGACGCCAAAACGCCAAAACGGAACCTGCGAGCGCACTCCCCCGGCCACCACAACTGGCCTCCACCCAGGCGAGGAAATCCCACGGCTCGGCCGCGGCAACTAACTGACACTGCGTCTGCAGAGGCACCCAGCGTACAGGCACCTGGCCTCTCGGCTGTGGGCGGTGGGCGCCCACGTCCTCTTATCTCGAGGGCCTTGGTATGCGAGCTCGGACGTCGAGTGGTGGTGCCCGAGGGAGGGGCCCGCCAGCCCGGGTTGCGACGGCCCGGCGGCTTCGGCTGATCGAGATCTGGAACTTCTGGAACAGCACCCGACGCGGGCGGTCAAGAGGAAGTTGACCTGTCTCCGGATATCGGGACCTTCTCTAGATACGGCTGGCCTTTCCTCGGCGCGCCTCCTCTACTCTTTTTTTTTTGTCCTTCCATATCGTCTCGTCAATAATCGCATTCCCCACACCCCGAAGGGCGTGACGCCCTATCTATTCTAGTCTAGCTGCCCATCCCCCATCCATTCATGCCAGTCCCTTCCATACCTTCCAAGCACTCTCGCGGGGGTGCGGTCTCGCACAGAAGAGGTCTTGGCTATACAGGGCCTGTCTTGGTCCCTCCCCATTGGCCAATGAGTCACCTGCCCACAAGCACAAGGATGTCGTCAAGGGCCGCCCCCTGGCGGGTCTGACTGCACGCTGGCTCCTTTTTAAGCTTCTCATGTCCAGCCAGCAACGCTTTGTTCGTTCTTCTCCTTTTCCCATATCCATCACTCTGCCCTGTCTGATTTTTTGCCTAGGTGCATCTACCTCGTTTCTTGCTTCCTTTTTATCCAATCCCTATAATATAAGCACAGTTGGGCTGGGCTTCTCCTACGAACTCGGCGCGCTATCCTCACCACCTTCGGAGCCTCTTTGTTCATCTTGCCACCTTGACATCACTTGAGCATATCCATATCCGTACCAGGGCGTCAGTACACCATCCGTGTCTTCCACTGTCGACAGACGGTTAGCCACTTGAAAAGTCGGACAGGGACGAAAGCATCAACCATGGCTCCGCCAGCGGCTATTACCCCCGTGACCCCGGGAACCCCTGTCCCTAACAAGGGCGACCCAGACACAAACTTGACCGCCGTGGCGCTTGAGCACAAACTGGAGCAGGTCAAGGATGACTCTTCAACAGCAACATCTGGCGTGCAGGCGCTAGACGCCTCCAAGCTGGTGTACAAGCTCACGGCGAACCCGAGGACGGTGCCGGACCCCGTCGCCGCCGTGGGCGGTAGCGAGACCATCTGCACGGACCATATGATAACAGCCAACTGGGACGTCAAGACGGGCTGGTCCGCGCCGTCGCTGCATGCTTACGGACCCCTGAGCCTGATGCCGACGGCGTCGGTGCTGCACTACGCCACCGAGTGCTTCGAGGGGCTCAAGGTGTACCGGGGCTACGACGGAAAGCTGCGGCTGTTCCGACCCGACCGCAACGCCGAGCGCATGCTCATGTCGTCGGTCCGCATCTCGCTCCCGGCTTTCCCGCCAAAGGCGCTGGAGCAGCTCATGCTCGCGCTCATGGCCGTCGACGGGCCCAAATGGCTGCCCCGCGACCGGCCGGGAACGTTCCTGTACCTCCGGCCGACCATGATCGGCACGCAGCCGGCGCTCGGCGTGCAGGCGCCCAGCCAGGCCATGCTCTACATCATCGCCAGTTACATGCCCGTCATGGACCAGCCCGCGGGCGGCATGCGCCTGCACACGTCGCCCGAGGACATGATCCGCGCCTGGGTTGGCGGCTTCGGCTACGCAAAGGTGGGCGCCAACTACGGCCCCAGCCTGCTGGCCACGCGCGAGGCCCGCGATCGCGGGTTCGGTCAGATCCTCTGGCTTTACGGGCCCGAAGGCTACTGCACCGAGGCCGGCGCCAGCAACTTCTTCGTAGTGTGGCGAGAGCCGGGCTCGTCGGGCCGCCTCCAGCTCGTCACCGCCCCGCTCGACGACCGCCTGATCCTCGACGGTATCACGCGCCGCAGCGTCGTCCAGCTGGCCAAGGAGAGATTAGGCGACGAACTCGACGTGGTTGAGCGCCGCTACACCATCGACGAGGTCTTTGCCGCCCAGGCCGAGGGCCGGCTGATGGAGTCGTTTGCCGCTGGCACTGCGGTGAGCTTTTTTTTCTTTTTACCTCCTCTGATAGCATTCCTTCTCCCCTCTCCTTATAAGCACCAAAAGCTGACAATTATAAACAGTTCTTTGTGAGCCCCGTCTCCCTGATCCACCACCGCGGCAAGGATTCACCCATCTCCATGGGCGACAAGGGCGAGGGCGGCAAGTACACGCTCCAGCTGAAGCAGTGGCTCAAGGATATCATGTACGGTAACGAGCAGCACGAATGGGGCGTCGTTGTACACGAGGAGCAGTAATCAGTCCCGTGCACTCCCCATCGTTCTTTATTTCTCGTGAGGGACCCCCGGGGACGACCAAAAGAAGCAAAAGTCGGCATTTTCACGTATTGACAGGCGTTTAGAAAATATGTCGGGTGTTCCATGTCCATGTTGCATTAAAGCAGCATCTTTGTTTATTATTTTCGCTTGAGCGTTCGTACACCAAAGATCCGCCCGGAGAGCTCTGGGTAAAAGTTCCAGTCGTTGTCTAGATCGTTGCTAGCAGCACACCAAATTCTCCCTTAAAATCCCCTCAGGCATGTGTGGTTTTATGAACAGCAATATTCTCGGAATGGCTCCAGCCATGTGCGCTCCTTATCTTGACAATTCCACATGGAACACCCAAAAGTATAAAGTGGAAAAGTTGGATGATCGAACAGTAGGCAAAGACAACAGAACAAGAGCAACGACAGCATGTCATCAACATGACGGCCACACGGATCATCCGAACAGCTCGGTGTCGGCAGCCTCCGCCTCGGATTGCTGGATTTTGATTCTCTCCTGAATATGGCCATGTCTTTGTTAGAATTACGAGGTTGCACAGCACCAATGGCAGAAGGGAGGTCTGCAGCTTACCTTTTTCCAGCGGGCGCGAATATCCTAGAGGGACCGAACCGTTGTCAGCAGGCTTCGCACATGCCATCGCCTTCACTGGAATACAACTTGCCTTTTCTGTGCGGTCTGCCTTCTCGATTGCCGCATCACCAAGCTCCTTGAGCTCGGCTCTAGCCTCCGAAATCACCTTTTGGATCTCGGCATCGACCTCGGCCTGGGCGGCAAACCTGACCTTTTTACCTGGCCGGCCTCCGCCGCCGTCGAGCTGCTTGGCCATCTGCCTGATCTGACCGTCCAGCGTCTCCCAGTCTCCCTAGAGCTTGGAGACTTCGTGCATGGTCTTTTCTAGCTTGGCGTCGAGGTCCTTGGCCATGTTGCCCAGCCTGACCGGCTGACTCTGGGGGCCGAGGTCGAGCTTGATGGTAGACAGCGGCGTGACGGTCCACTTCTGGTGCTCGCGGACGGCAGCGGCCCACTTCTTGTCGCTCTCTTTCAGACCGTCCAGCTTGGCCAGGATCGCGGCGTGTGCCTCGTTGATCTTATTCATCGACCGCGTCTCCAGGACGCGGGCCCTGCCTCCGTACGTGGCTGCCGCCAAGACTGTCAGATGTCCAGTGGCATGGACCAAAAGGTAGGGGAACCTAGCAGAAAGGCAGATGGACCGTGGATGGGCGGGGCCCCTTACATTCCAGCTTCGTCACATCCGCGAGGTTGGCCGGCGCCAGAGGGGGGCTGCTGCTGTTCCTCGGGGCGCCGGCGTCGACGTCGCCATACTTCGCGGCCGCACGCCGGGCGTCCAGCTCGCGCTCGAGCGTCCTGAAGAAGGTCTCGGTGGGTGTGGTCTCAGGCAGCGGCGTGGGCTCGCGCGGCGGGGGGCTAGGTCTGAAGCGCTCGATGCGGGCCCTGAAGCTGTGCGTACCCGAGGGTCTTTTGGTTGCGCCCGTAATGGCCTTCTTCACGCCGCCTTCATGTAGGCGGCGGCGCTTGTCCATCTCGACGGATGGTTGAAGTACCAGGGGCAGGGCCCGGCCGATGCGGTGATCCCTAGCAGGGGGCATCGCAAACGCGCGGGATACGACTTTTGTGCTCAGTCTGATCTGGTTCCACCGAGACATACGGGGCACCTAGGCAAGTCGGGTGGGTTGGCGCCCTGGGATATTGGGCGGGTGTGATGTTACATTGTTTTACCCGTCCATCTTGGGTGGGCTTCTCGTTCTAGATACCTACCTACTGCCGGGCAGGTTTATCTCTTTTAGCTTCCACCGAGAGGAAGTCGCGAATAGCCGAGCGGGCTCGGATTCGTGACCCAACAGGAAGGCGCAACTCCCGCCGTCCAGGCACCACCCACTAGGTGCCCCTGGACCTTCCTGTTCTGTCTAGCCGCCGTGGTGCCGCCCTCCTTGGCCACGCGCCCTCGCGGCTTCCGGATGCTGCTTTTGGACGCGTAACGTGGCATTTGCTCCTGGCGATTGGCTCCGTCGCCCGACCAATTCCTTGTTGGTCAATCGACTCCCTGTTTGCGGCGGGGGGTTAGTTGCCGGCAATGACGGATACAAGCTTTTTTTACCCACTGGCTAAGCAAACATAAGCACTTCACTGGCGGGTCTTGGCCCGGGATCGAGCCCCCCCCTGCTTCCTTTCCCTGCCGTTCTTGCCGTGCCTGCTCCTCGACAAACCCGTTCATTCGCCCGCCCGCGATTCCCGACAGCAAACTATCTAGGGGCTCCGCCCTTCCGTATTCATTCCCAGAACTTGTCCCTTCCCCATTGCTCCTTCCCACTTAAGGAGATGGGAAAGTCAGTACCTACACCTCTCTATCGCTGCTGGCTAATGACTCGGCCTCTGGATGCGGACTGTATGACACAATCGGGCTGCAGGCACATGAATGTCATGTCCGCTTCCAGCCCCTCTGAGAGGGGCTGTTGATCTCTCCGTGACGGGAAGGTGTCATTTGCAGGTGGGTACTCTTGACTCTGCCGCTCAAGACTGGGATGTTCAAGGAAGGAGGCGGGAAGTATGTGCGCCCCGAGGACGTGGTACTGGACGCACAGGGAGGCTGGGCAGGAGCAGCAGTGAGGCTTTTTGTTCTTAGGCTACGGTATTAATATACCACGGGCACTGCTCTGTCCTCGCCCTTCTCCTGTGTGACCTGTCCTCCAGTCTGACATCTTCTCGCTTTTGGTCGCCGGACTATCAAGCTCGCCTCGACGTATTTCGGACAAGGCATCTCGGTCCAGGCAGCCCAGGCGGTCCTTGAACAAAAGCACAATGCTTGGGCAGCTCTTCACGTACGCTGCCGTGGGCACCTTCCTGCGGTTGCTGCCAGCAGCGATGGCCGAGGGCAGCGTCGTGGTCGAGTCCCTCGCGCAGGTGCCCGAGGGCTGGACCAGGCTGTCGGACGCGGACCCGGCCCAGACGATCCGCCTCCGCATCTCGCTCCGCCAGCCCAACCTGGGCCTGTTCGAGCAGACGCTCTACGCCGTCTCGTCCCCGAGCAGTCCCCGCTACGGGCAGCACCTCAAGCGGGACGAGCTGCGGGACATGATGAAGCCCCACGAGGCCTCCACCGCCGCCGTGCTAAAGTGGCTCGACGACGCCGGCATCCCCCAGGCCCTGGTCGACGACGACAGCGACTGGGTCAACGTCGCCACCACGGTCCGCAACGCGAGCGCCCTGCTGGGCGCCGACTTTGCCGTCTACGGCCAGGATGGGACTCGGGTCAGGAAGATCCGAGCCCTGAGGTACTCGGTCCCGGAGCACGTCCGCGAGCACATCACCATGGTCGCCCCCGTCATACGGTTTGGCCAGGCGAGGCCCCTGAGAAGCATTATCGACAGCATCCAGCGCGCCGAGTCGAGCATCCAGGCTTCGGACATCCCCAACCCCGACCTCAACGTCGCCGCTTGCAACAAGACGCTCACCCCCGAGTGCCTGCGCGCCCTGTACAAGGTTGGCAGCTACCAGGCCACGCCGACGAACCGCTCCCTGTTTGGGATTGCTGGCTACTTGGAGGTATGGTTATCATCAGCCCAAGCAGCCACTTCTCCCTCGCGAGAAGCCATCCGTTACTGACACTCCCTTTATCGCCCGTAGCAATACGCCAAATATAACATGCTTGAAAGGTTCCAGAGCTTGTACGCCCCGTACACGCTGGACGCGAACTTCTCCGTCATCTCCATCAACGGCGGCCTGAACGACCAGGCGTCCAAGGCGGACTCGGTCGAGGCGAACTTGGACGTCCAGTACGGCCTGGCCATGTCGTACAAGACCAGAATGACCTACTACACGACTGGCGGCCGGGGCCCCCTGGTGCCCGAACTAGACCAGCCGGACCCCAACGACGTCTCCAACGAGCCGTACCTGGACTTCCTCGAGTTTATGACCAAGCTCCCGGACGACGAGCTGCCGCAGACGCTGACCACGTCGTACGGCGAGGACGAGCAGTCGGTGCCGCGCGAGTTCGCTATCAAGGTCTGCAACATGTTTGGCGAGCTGGGCGCCCGCGGCGTGTCGGTCTTCTTCTCGTCGGGAGAGTGAGTCTTTGCGCCCCGATGCCAGCCGGCAATAGAAGATATTTTTTTGAGAAGCTGACCGGCCTCTGTCTTCTGCGCAGTGATGGCCCAGGTAGGAGCTGCCAGACGAACGACGGCAAAAACACAACCCGTTTCCTGCCCACCTTCCCGGCGTAAGTCCACCCCCCACCCGTTTTGCACAACCTCCTCTTTCTCCCCCCATAGCTAACGCCTGTCAACGGCGGCGCCACCAACCACACAGCGCGTGCCCCTACGTCACCGCCGTCGGCGGTACTAGGTATGTCGCCCCGGAGACGGCGGCGGCGCTGGCCGGCGGAGGCTTCTCGGACATCTTTGCGCGCCCGAGCTACCAGGAGGCCGCCGTGACCAAGTACCTCGGCATCCTGGGCGGCCGGTGGGCGGGGCTCTACAACCCGGCGGGCAGGGGCTTCCCCGACATCGCCGCGCAGGCCTACAACTACCACGTGCTCGACAGCGGCAACGACCTGCTGATCGGCGGCACCAGCGCCTCGTCGCCCGTCGTGGCCGGCATCTTCTCGCTGCTCAACAGCGCCCGCCTCAGCGCTGGCCTGCCCCCGATGGGCTTCGTCAACCCGTGGCTGTACGAGACGGGGTTCCAGGGTTTGACCGAGTAAGTGGTTCCGGAGAAAACCAATACCTTTTTTCTTTCTTTTTCTTGTCTTTACATGTACCCACCACGCGTGTCCATCTTCTGTGGCTGACACGCACACCCCTCCTCGCTTGGTCCACAGCATCACTCTTGGGGGCTCCCGCGGCTGCACCGGTAAGGCTAGGACCGGCCTGCCGTCCCCCAGGGTCCCGTACGCGTCGTGGAACGCGACCGAGGGCTGGGACCCCGTCACGGGCCTCGGCACGCCCCTCTTCGACAAGCTGCTCGAGCTCAGCAGCCCCGGCGTGCACATGGCCAGGATCGGGGAGAACTAGGTCTCTAGGTGGCAGATTGACGACTTGATGAGGAAATATCTATTAGCATGGCATGATTATCCGGTAATGGCCACTTCGATGGAATGGTTGGTTAGAAAGCCCACCCCGGGCATGCTAGTTCCTAGATCGCCGTCTGTTTAGATACTTGGGAATACTTATGAGAGTAACCATAATGAGAATCGACGCACTTTTGTCTGCTTCCAATGCGGCCTGTGGCACGCGCGCGCGTAATACTGCAAGGTTGATTTGGTGTTGATGTCAAAACAAATCGTCGGGTATAGATGGATAGCTAACTAGAAACTAGAAATAAATATAGAGATTGTGAGCAAATTCTGGCTTCCGGACACCTCAGCAGCCATCCTACATCTTTCTGATCTCCTCGTTCCTCCACCTCCCGCACCCTCAGGGAAGATATCCAAGAAGAGACTCCTCAAGTCGCCAAAATCAACGAGTGGCGGGGGCGAGGGTGACGGCGCCGCCGAGGGATCAGGACGCCGGAATTAACCTTTTCCGAGTGCGTACGCACGCGTCGTTGTTGAGAACGAAGACGCAACCACTTCCCAGTACCCAACACACACCCACCCCACCAAATTACTGCTCTCGCGCGCACGACAAAGACAACACTCCCTCATATTCAGGCCTTCCCGCTAGGCAGAGGAGCGGCGGCATCGAAGCTCTTGATGCTGCCACTGCCGCGGCTGCTGCTGATGGCGCTCATCTGGCTGGCCATGCTGAGACCTGTGCCCTTGCGGGTTTCGAGGGCGCGCGACCAGCGCTTGTTGTCCTTGATGGGCACGCCCTGGCCATCGAGGCCGAGCACCTCCATCAACTCCGGGATCTCGGCGTGGTCGCGCGTTGTGCGCATGCGATGGCACCACGTCACCTGCTTGTCCTCGACGTAGCCCTCCTCCTCGTCCGCTCCGTCGTGCTGCACGGGGACCTGGACCGTCGGCCTGGTGCCGCTAATACTGCTCCCCCGTGGGGTGTTGCCGTTGGTTTCCCTCGCGGTGTTTGTTGCCGTCGCTCCGTTGGGTGTTGTCGTGTCGGCGGGTGCTGCTGCAGGCGGCGTTGTCGTCGTCGTCATTTCCGTTGATGCGGCTGCTGCTGTTGCCGGTTCCGGTGTCGTAGCAGCACTGCTCTCCTTTTTGGCAACGACAGCCCCTGAATCTTCATTGAGGGAGAGACCTTCACCAATGGTCTGGCGGGTGATGCTGCTGCCATGGAGCTGGTGTTCCCCGATGCGGCGGTCGAGGTCGTCCTCGACGGGAGCGGGCGTGTGGACGGTCAGGGGCTCGAACAGAAACTCGCCGCCGATCTGGCGGTGGTCACCCGCCTTTGTGGCCTTGCCCGAGGGCACCTGGCGCAGGCCCTGGGCGACGCTACTGAGGGCCGAGAGCAGCATCGACTTGCGCATGTACGCCGGGCGCTGGCCCATGGCGAGGGTGCGCACCATTCCCAGCTCATCGTACAGCCGACGTGTCGGGTCGGCGTAAACGGGGAATGGGCAGCCCGTCTCGCGTACGTACATGTCGATCAGACCCGGGTCACCGCAGCCCACGACGGCGATGAAAGTGGAGATGGGAAGTTGCAGGAGGGCCTCCGGGGTGATGGAGGCAGAGAGGGTGCGTAGGTACTCCTGGCAGTTCTGTCGGTGGCGAACATGGGCGGCGGTCAGAGGCCAGGTCAAGCCGAGAGAGACCGAGTAGAACCGTGGACATGGACGGAACAACTTACACCACAGAAGAAGTGCCGCACAAAGATCAGCAGGACGCGGCGGGCGACGTTGCGGCCCGTGTAGAGACTGCGGAAGGTGTGCGATTTGCCGTGGCGATCCAGCACCGTATAGTTCTCGATCTTGCGCAGCGTCGCGGCCGAGGGCAGGTCGTTGTTGCTCTGCACCTCGCCGCTGAAGTCCTGCGGGTTGATCTCGTCGATGCCGTCCTTGCCTGGCTTCTGTGTCTTCTCGCCATCCAGCTTCTTCTCGGCGGCCATGGGGAGAACTGCTGTTGCTGCGGCCGGAGGTGGTGCTTCTGGCGTAGCCGAGGCTGGTGCTGCTGCCGCGGCGGAGGTGGTCGAGTCCTCGGCCGGCGACTTCTGTGGGACCGACGGCGGTGGTGCAGGGGCGGCAGCAGGCAATGGTGCTATTATAGGTGCTTCCGCCGTAGCGGGCACGGCAGCGATGGCGGCTTCGGTGGCAGGGGCGGTCGTGGCGGCGGTCTCCTTTGCAGCCGCTGCCGCAGGCTCCCTCACAACCGCCGGCACGGGGTCTGGAGCGGCGGCAGCGGTGGCCGGCTGCGCCCCAGGTTCAGCCGCTGTCGTCATAGTCGAAGCAAGCAGCAGCCGTCTTAGAGGGGCAAGAGAGCTAGAGAGGTCGGGCGGGAGGAGCTGGGAGTGACAGCGTTGGGGGTTAGGCTGCTCGAGCGGAGCTCAGGTTGCCAGCAGGCTACTGCTCAGCAATCAATCAATGCGTGCGACTGACTGGACTTGGTTGGGTTGAGTAGAGGTTGTGGTCCAAGTCACGGTGTGGACGACAAAGGGAGAGGATTTTGAAACAGCACAGCGGAGCATGGGCCTGAACTTGACTGGTGGTGCTTCTGTGTAAATGCGTAAATGCTGATCAGGCCCTGTGGCTGGCTAGCGCCTGCAGCACAGACTGGCACCATCTCGTGGATTCCGTCAAATGGTCAAATGGATTCCAACCCCTCCCTCCAACTCCTCTTGTGCTTCAAAAAAGCAATGTCTGTTTCTATTTCCTGTCCACAGATGCTCCGCCACCTCCCGCCACCCGCGCAGTCGTGCCATCTGATAGGCCTCTGGGTCTGCTCGCCAAAACACGTCGAAGCTGGCTGGCCCGATTCCTCCGCCAGCGCCACTGCTCCGGCCCCGTTTCCCTGCCGCTTGCGAGTTTCACCGCTGCATGAGGTCATGGGCTCGCCGCCTGCAGAACCGTGGGCGGAGGTCGCAATTGAGGAGCAGGGGCCACGGTTAACAGGGCTGGGGTCCCCCCCCGTTTGTGGGACCCAGTCCTCCAAGTTGGCGCGCCTAGGCCTTGCTCGTGCCTTTTGCGGACTACGCTCCCAGTGGGTTACGGACCAAGGTTTCAACCACCATCTCTGCCGCTCCTAATTGGGCTGTTGTCGCTTCGCTGAGGCCCTGACCCTGGCCCCTGAGCCATTGAAGGAACATCCCGCCTATCTCCATCTCGCTCATCGATCGCGGCAGCTTCGTCGATTCGTGCGCCCTCCAATCACAGCGCCTCTGTTACGCGTTGCACAGACCCCCTCGTTTACAGCACATAATACCCACGCTCGAAAGCAAGAGCTTCTCTTCATCAAACACCGTTTTTCTCGCTTCTTTTTGATCTTGCGTAAGATGTTTTGTTTTATTATTTGGAGTAACGACTGACAATTCATGTTGGCAAGGCCGGCACGAGGCAGCAAGAACAAGTCCAGAAGCTGGAAGTCCTTGGTTGAGAACGAGTGTAGGGGGCGAGGTATAAAACACAATCAACGAGAATGAAGAAGAAATGATTGCCATAGGGATGGGCGACCGCTGCAAAGACGGCTTCCCAGGAGCAGGTTATTAGGTCCAGGCGATATGGTGTGAATGTGTGCATAGTGGCCTCAACAGAACAAACGACTGCATTACAGGTTCCTGGCCGCAGCTGGGGAAGAGACAGCAAAGACGACAGCCATTTGGCCATGCCCTAAAAGAGCGGTGGTGGCGCTGGGGGAGTTTGTAGTCCCTCGGCCACCATTTGATCTCACACCAAAACCACCCACTCGCCATCAACACTTCCAGCGTCAACTTGTTTGAACATGCTTTCTTGGACAATCTGGGGGACCAGAAGCGCGAGGCCGGTATCTCTCTCAGTAGATCGATATCGAGCTCTGGAGCTGTACTGTCTCGCTTGTGCGCCTTTCGGAATGCCGCATATGAAAATCGGTTGCCAATGCATACGACTTCGAAGCGTCAGCGGCGACTTACACCCTCACGACAAGCCGGACTCATAGGATAGAGTTCGAAATGCCGCATAGGCTTGGTTGCGAGCACGGCACCGGAGCGCCCAAAGGGTTGACCGCAGACGGGATGGCGGTTTGCCTCTCGTGGCGGAGGTGAATGGTGGTGGACGAGCGGCCCACCCGAGGCCCCAAGGCCTGCCTAGCGAAGTAGCTGGACGTCCTCTGCATTGTTGACTTATCGATTCCCCAAGGGTAGGGATGACAGGAAGCAAGCTCTGTCGGCTTCAGAGCATGTACGTGTAGCTCTTGATGTTGGCGAGGATAACGTTTTTGTTCTCTGTATCTCTCTCAACCAGCACAACGCCTTGGCCTTGTCATCGCTCAGTCGTACCCGGAGCCACCGATCTGGCTTGCAAATGCAGTGCTGATGCTCTGCTGGTCGTCGTCGTATCGTCGGTATCCATTGCTAGGACCCATACGCCCACCGCTCTCAACGTATTGTCTCAGACGGTCGCTGTGGCTATATGAAGTAGGTCGGCCAGTGCCCATGGCATCATGTAGACCCGCTCCGAGGCTGGCACCGCCCTGGCCGACACCTTTGGCACCAATCACGCTGGCGCTGGCGTCCGTAAACTCCGAGTTGGCCACGCTCTCGCCCGCAATGCTCTCCGCTCCCCTGCCGCGGTTGCGGGCGCCGGAACGGCCCGTTGCGTGCACGCCAGGGAGGCCAGGCCACTGCTCGGGGTTGAAGCTCGAGAACATGGCCGGGTAAGCAGAAGCGAGGCCGGCGCCGCCCAGGGCAGAGCTGTGGATCGAAGATACATCGTCTGGGATGTACGACACTATGGAGCCCGAGTCGAAGTCGCGAGTGGACCCGTTGAGGCCGGCACCTGCGTACCGACCGTTGTTGGCGAAGCCCGCATTGCTAGGCGCGTACTGCTGGTTCTGCTGCGTGAAGCGAGCGGGACGGAAGCTCTGCCGCGGCCTGCCAAACTGGAGCAGAGAAGTCTGAAGGTTGGTCAGGGGACCGTCGACGAGGCATTTACGATCGCGGAAATGAACCAGGAGATGGTGCCAGAGCTCGTGCTTTGAGAGGACCTTGGGATTGCCGATAATGACAACGCCATACTTGGCACGCGTGAGGGCCACGTTGAGGCGGCGCGGGTCCGACAAGAAACCGATGCCCTGGTTCTCGTTGGAGCGGACGCAGGAAAGCACGATAAAGTCCTTCTCACGCCCCTGGAAGGCGTCGACCGAGGCCACCTCAACCTCCTTGTAGCTCTCCTTCTTGAACGTTCCCGTGTTCTGCATTGTGCTCACAATGTAGCTGCGCTGACCCTCGTACGGCGTGATGACTCCGATGTCACCAGGCTTCACGCCGGCCTTGAAGAATCGCGTGACAATCTTCTCAACATTAGACGCCTCGGTGCGGTTCAGGTATGAAGTTCCTGAAGCTGAGATCTCCTCGTTGCCGAGATTCGACCAGAACATCATGGGCATGTCACCAACAGGCCAGGGGAAGTCGACATCCCGCCGGAGCCGCTGCTGGATGGTAACACCGTTCTGGAGTGATCCCTCGTAGAACATGTTGGAAGGAAACTCGGATAGGCAGGGGTGCATTCGGTACTGGACATTGAGCCGAATCGGCGTCAGGTTGAGCTTGACCAGCCGCTCAAACAAGGACTGATTGAGGCCGGCCTTGGCCGCCTTCTTGTTCATGATGACCGGGCCTAGCTGCTTGTGGTCGCCAACTAGGACAACCTGCTTGCATCCGAGGACTAGCGGGATCATGCACTCGGGCTCGGCGGACTGCGTCGATTCGTCGATGAGCACGTTTCGGAACTTCATCTTGGCCAGGCGGGGGTCTCCAGCACCGACGCATGTGCAGCACACCACGTCAGCGTTGCCAAGGATCTCGCGCTCGGCGGCCTTGGTTAGCTGCTTGAACTTCTTCTCGTCTTGGCTAGACAGCTCGCCCAGCTCGCTCTTGAGCTGCTGCAGCTTTGCAAGCTCTGGGTTGGTGTCGTTCATGCGGACCTGCTCGTGCAGGGCCAGGAAGCTGACCGAGGACTCAACATCCTCGCGGGACTTGGCCGTGAGCCGGACGACCTTCAGGCCGGTGCGGTGAACGCGCTCGCACAACTGGTCGACGGCAACGTTGGACGGCGCGCAGACGAGCACCTGGCTATTGTTCATCTTTGCCAGATGGTAGATGATGGTAGCCGAAGTCACCGTTTTGCCTGTGCCAGGGGGGCCTTGAATCAGACTCAGTGGGGTCGAGAGCACCGCCTTGATGGCGCTGATCTGGCTTCCGTTAAGCTCTGGAAGACCGGGCGCGGTAAACTTCTTGGGCATGGTGGTCCTCATCGGGGCGACGGCAACCTCGTGGCCAAGGAGCTTGTGGAAGATGTAGCCGCTGACACTCATCTCATCGACAGCAAAGTTTCTCATTGCCAGCTGCATGCGGTCATACGAGGTGGCCTTCCAGACGTAGTCGGCAGAGAAGTTGTGGGTGCACTCGGTCGGCACAGACTTGTCGTTACCAGACTTGCGAAGCTCAAGCGTGACCTCGTCGGATTGGTTGTTAGGAATCTTAACCACGTAACCAACACCTTCCCACTGAGGACGCAGCTCGCCCTTATACTTGAGCCGCATCTCGTCGCCGACAGCCAGCTTGACGTCGCCAGACTCGATCTTGGGAAGAATAAAGCTGGCAAGGTGCTTGTTGTTTAGACCATAGTCCCAGCGCACTACCAGGCCGTCCTCCGACTGCGCCTCCTTCAGTTTCTTGTCGTAGTCGGACTCCATCTTGACAAGGGGGCCAAAGATGTTCTGGTAGTGGTAGGGGTCGTCGTACTTGAGGAGCACGGGGTGGGGTTCGTCGTCGATCTGGTCGTTCTTCTCGAGATCCTGCACAGTCGCATTGGCGTCCTCCTTCCATAGCTCCTCGAGCTTGGCGATCATGGGCGGGGTGAGGTGGCGAGCGCGAAGCTGTTCGGCGTCACTAGGCACCGCAACCAGCCACGATAGGAAGTTCCGCTCGTCAAGCAGCGGCGACCACCGCGAAATGTCCCAGCTCATGTCCTTTGAAGACGGGTTTGCGGCGCATGGCTGGCGGCACAGCAAGACCACGACCGTGTCGGATTTGGCGGGGATGAAGCCCAGGAGAAAGACATTGCGCACGCCGCAGTTGTAGCACTCCAGGATGGTATCGCCAAGTGTCGACTCTGGATGCAGCTGCACCTCCTTGTGCCGGGCACGGACGAGGTGGTTGATGATGTGGGACGAGGACGTGTTGCCGCGCGAGTTGCAAAACCACTTCTTGCAGCCCAGACACTTGACCACACAAGCTGGGGAGTGTATGCCGCAGTAACTACAGTGGCGAGGCACAGCCAGACAAGGTCAGCGCTTCGGGACGAGACAGCCAGCCATCAACAGAGCCGGGCCAAGCAAAACAACGCATGGGACGCGCACAGGGTAAACCTACGCGCAGGCGTGGGCGGGGAGCTCCTTTTCCTCGTCGGCGGTCTTCAGATTCAAGCCTCGCATACCCTCAACCGGGACGCTAGCAAGGCTCTCCTCGTCCTCGTCATCGTAGGCCTCTGTCTCGTTGTCGTCGTCATCGCCACGGCGGCGGGCGCTACCCAGGCCGCCGCGGCCACCGTATTTTCCATACAGCAGGTTCTCTTCAGGATCGAGGTTGGACAGGTCGTCGGTATCGCCGGCCTTGATCGCGGCAGCCGAATCGGATATAAGGTGGTTACCGAGGTGCGTAAACGCGCCCTCCATTGTCGGGGAAGGGATGGCTCGATGTCCGAGTGTTCGGTATGGCACTGGATGCGAGGGGGTCTCAGAATGGCGTTGGCGCAACCCGGGGCGGAAAATTGCGACAGGCGCACCACTCACGGTTTGGAGGGACCGAAGGAATTTCCTTGCGTCGGAATTTGGGGAGGGGGGTAGGTGGTTCGGAAGCCGGGGGACGTTGTCACATCATATCGAGGGCAGGGCAGGTGTGGGTAGTGAACGCGGGATTGTGCGCTTGGAAGCACCACTCGCGGATGCAAAGTGCAAAGTCTGCTTCCGTCGGTTGCCTTCCAACTGTAGGGTTTGTTTGGTGGCGGTAGGTGATGGTGGTGGAAGCGGAGCGGAGCGATCTGCGCCAACACTGAGAATTTGGTGTGCGCCAGCTTCCAAGCCAAAAGTGAGCCAGGGTCTTGCGAAACTTTTGGTCCCCTCGCACAAGGTCATGTGACGGCAGAGCTATCTCTGCAAGCTTTTGCTGCTGGATTGTTCCTTACCAGTTCGAGCCCCGCGCCGACGCGTGGCGGAAAACGACGCCGCGGGACCCACCACGGTGGGATGTGGGGTCAGGAACCAGATCCCTGCACATGCACCCCTGCAAGAAAAGTTGACGTTTGGTGCTGAGCTCTGATTTTTTTCTTTCTCAGGCAAAAGCAGCGAGAGCGGCTGTGACAGAAACTCCATGCACGACTCAACTGCCCGAACTTGACCCCTCTACCAACAAAACGCGACAGAAATCCTCACAATGATTGTGAGTTACGCGATTCCCACCAGACGCGCCCATATATACGTCCTTCTGGATGTCATTCGATAGACTCTAACCCTTACCTTCGCCGCCCCTCTAGCGCAAACAAGCAAGACAGCGCAGAGATTACCTGTACCGCAAGGCCGCGATCCTCAAGGATGCCGAGATCAACGAGAAAAAGGCCAAGCTGCGAGCATCTTTGGCCCAGGGAAAACCTCTAGACCGGGACATCGCGAACGACAAGGAGCTACGGAAGGACTATCAGTATGACGAGTCGCGCATAGACCAGAACGACGACCTGGACCTCGACGACGAGTATGCGCAGCTGAGTGGCCTGGTCGACCCGCGGGTCATGGTGACAACGAGCCGAGACCCGAGCGCGCGCTTGGCTGCCTTCGCCAAAGAGATACGGCTGCTTCTACCGACGGCGATCCGACTGAACCGTGGAAATCTAATCCTGCCCGAGCTTGTCCGGAGTGTGCAGGCGGCGGGCCTATCCGATGTTGTCCTTCTCCACGAGCGCCGCGGCACTCCCACTGCGCTCACTATATCACATATGCCCCACGGACCGACCGTCTCTTTCTCACTCCACAACGTGCTTCTAAGGCACGACATCCCGGGCAGCGTGAGGGGAACAGTGTCTGAGGCCTACCCTCACCTGATTTTCGAGGGATTCACATCACGGCTGGGCCAAAGAGTTGTCAAGGTTCTCAAACACCTGTTCCCCCCGAGGGAGCCGATCACGAGTAAGACCAAGATGTCGAACCGCGTTATCACCTTCAAGAATATCGATGACGTTATCGAGGTGCGGCATCACGTTTTCGTGCGCACCGGGCACGAGAGTGTGGAGCTCGCAGAAGTTGGGCCGAGAATGAGCATGAAGGTCTTTGAGATTAGGGGCGGCACCTTGGAGAACAAGGACGGAGACGTGGAGTGGCACCTCAGCCAATACACCCGCACGAGCAGAAAGAAGAACTACCTCTGAGGAGTACGATCAAGTTCGAATTTGCGACTCGCATGCGACTACTTGCAGAGTGTCTTGTGTTTTCGGCTACTCTATGCTTCAGAATGCACTGTTTCAATATAGTAGAAATAGCTTCAAATTCGGGAGCTAATGAGGGGAGGCTCGGATGCACATCACCGCTGCCCCATTGAAATCCCGCCGAGACCTGGCCCCCTGCGCGGTGCGGATTTCAGCTTGAAGGAAAAAGGCCGGCCGAGGACTTGCTTTTAATATTCTCGGCGGGTAACCGACCGGCCCAAGCAGGCAACAGTGAAAGGGGCTCTACATGCCCACAGATAGCGGATCAAATATAGCTTCTCCCGATGGCAGTCTGTTGGGACTACCAGATGGTGCTAATGAGGCGCTTATGCCGTGTTTTCTCGAACCCAACAAGCCCATTCCGTTGCATTTAGCACTAAACCCCCATCAAGGGAGGATTCGGATGTGCAGTCACTGCTAAGCCAGGCAATCAGCCTGTATGCACCTGGCTCCTTTCATGAGAAGTTCCATGAATTGGGGTCTCAGGGACCGTCTGCGTCACGGCGTCTGCCCAGCCGCCGCACCACCTAGCTTTCAAATGTTGGTGGCGGGTGCGGGTTTCCGCTCTGCGGCTGATCGACTAGGCAAAGCCACGGCGGCGACAACCCACACAGCCCCCGGAACAACGGCTCTTCAGCTGGCGACGGCGCGGCACTTGTTCGTTTTCCGGATAGATTATTTTACTGCGGGCATTGGCGTTAATCTGGTATCCGTCTGAGTGCAGGCAAGATCGCAGCTCCATCCGTTATCATGAATCAAAAGGTACAGCATGCGGATACGAGATGCAGATTTCCGAGAACAATCAGCTCGGGGAATAGAACCCGTCCTTCTCAGGCCGACTCCGCCACAAGCAGTGACGACGAAACCGTCAGACTCGCTGGATTGGAACCGAGCGATGCACGGGGATGCGAGTGGGCTGTGTTAACGTCATCAGCCTCCCAGAGCTTGGCAGCCGCGTCTAGGCTGACAGGATAGCGGGTGCAGATAAAAAATTGGAACAAAGTGAGATTATTAACTGCCAAAGTCGGACAAGCGCACCTGGCTTTAACCTTCCGCCTGTGGTCCAGCGCCCGTTTGTCTGTTCGAACCGCGCCCGTGAAAGTCGTGGCTCTCGGCACAAATTTCCTGACCTGTTTGTTCACGGTCTCCCTCCCACTGGTTTGTCGCATCAATTGAGCCACACCTGCCTATTGCTACAGTCGCCATGGCGTACAACAACAGCAACAACAGCAGCCACTACAATCAGTACGGGGGTAACCCCTACAGCCAAGGCCCCACGGCCGAGACGGGATATGGTTATACCAACAACGCCGGCCAGCAAGTGAGTCGAGTCGCCTGTCCACAGCAGCCCGTTCGGGCAGCGTCCGAGCATCGGGAATATGCCTCGAGACGTCATGGCACCGTTTTACCGCTGCGCGCGCACGTGAACTGACCGGACGACCTCGCTGTACCCCCCAGGAGCAGCACGAAATGCAGCCGCTAAACGGGCAGCAGCATGACGGCCCGCACTACCAACAGCCGGCCGCGCCGCCGACGCTGTCGCAGCAGGACTTCCTGGCCCAGGTCAACTTCACGAGGGGCGAGATTCGGCAGCTGACGAGCGACGTGCAGGCCATCGCGGGCCTGCACCAGCGCGGCCTGTCGGGCGACGATGCCGCGCAGAACCAGCTCGCCGCCCACGTCGAGGAGACGTCGCGTCGCACCACGTCGATCCGCTCGTCCATCAAGACGCTCAAGTCGGACGTCGAGCACACCACGGACCACAGCCTCTCGATGAAGAAGCAGCAGTGGACCGCACTCAACGACGCCTTCAAGACGGAGCTGAGGACGTACATGGAGGCCGAGCAGCGCTATAGGGAGAGCTACCGAGAGCAGATCGCGCGGCAGTACCGCATCGTCAACCCCGCCGCCACCGAGGAGGAGGTCCGTCGCGCGGCCGACGCTAATTGGGGTGACGAGGGCGTTTTCCAACAAGCGGTATGTCGCCGAGCCTCACCTGTTCCCCCGCTTTTGGGCGACGCGAATTTTTGCTGACCTTGCACCCCTTGTCATCAGCTGAGGCAAAACCGCGCAGCGCAAGGCCGTGCAGTCCTGGGCGCGGTGCGCGCCCGGCACAACGAGCTGAAGCAGATCGAGCAGTCGATCGTCGAGCTCGCGGCCATGTTCAACGACCTCGACACGCTGGTTCTGCAGCAGGCGCCCATGATTGCCGAGATAGAGCAAAAGGCAGAAGACACGGTGCAGAACCTCGACCAGGGAAATGCCCAGGTTGCCAAGGGCGCAGAGCTCGCAAAGAACCGCCGCAAACTCAAGTGGTGGTGTCTCGGCATCTCCATCGTCATCGTCATTGCCATCCTCATCGCCGTCCTGGTCGTGTTGTACAATTCGGGCGTGATCGGCAACAAAAATCCACCAGCAAAACAGTGATGACTCCGACCCAGCCGCGAGCACTGCCAAGTTCCTCCCTTTTTTTTTCACTCTTGCCGGCCTACACACCAGGGGGGTTCCG